TCCTTTTACTTATGTCTACATAGGTGCAGCTACTGTATTATGCCCAGATTAGGTCTGAGTTTCTTTAATGTTAAAACATGTGACACAGAATTCCTGTATCTTTTACCTGCTTTATCCTTGATGGTGTTGTGAATAACTGTTATATTCAATTCCCAGCCAGCTGGGAATTCATATTAAGTTCTGATACTTTAAGATGTTTATTGCCCAACCTGGTAGGGATATTATTAGGGTTATTACACACCCCCTACTAGCTGTGTGTTAGAACAATAAATGAAAGAGTGATTTGAGCTCAAATCATGGTCCAACAGATAATTCTGCACATACATAGAATATGTTCACCACAACTTCTGTTCAAAATCTAAGAGTTTATAAAAAAAAAAAAACATTCATCTCCAAGTCAAGCATATTTCAGTTAAAAACTCTTGACTAAAAATTGTGAACCTGAACTAAATAAACTACTATGTACAAATAGGAAGGGAGGATGGTTGAAAACCATATTACAGTTTAAGATGGATTTTGTGTTTGGAAAACCAAAGTTTATCTGGAAGAATTTGGGATATGATCAAATTAGCTTTTCACTCATTTAGAGCAATAGGAATGTTTTCAAACCAATTCACAACACAGATCCATGAGTGAATAAAACATAATTTGGCCAAATAATGTTTTATTAAATTATTTGCTTAATCGGGAACCAGTAACCTTTAATTAAATGATTCTTTACCCAGGGTAAATTACCCTCTTTGAAATAGCTAGCAGTGAAATAACATCAGGTATTCCATTAAATGACTCTTGGTCATACTTGGTGAACAAAGTTTAATGAACATATGATTCATGAACACTAATGTTATATCAGTGTTTGAACCATTAGTGAAATAAATCTTGTCCAAGCTTCAACAACAGCTCAAAACATATTACTGTAGCATAGCATAGAATGCAGTCCAACCTGTTAGCTTTGTCTTTACCCATCAGTAAACACATTAAATGATCAAAATCATCAAAAGACATTGTTTGTTCTGTCCCTAATTGTGCCAGATCTGCAAACCTCTTTCCATGTACGTTTTTGGAAGGTTTGAGTTTCATCCAGCAGCAGCTTAGCAGGGCACACTCACAGAAAAGGGGGGGTTGTCCTTCATCCCATGCTGCTGACACCATAGGATCTTCAGGAGACTTTATCCTCCAGTCTGGCTCTGTAAGTTCTGAACCTCAATAGAAATGTGTTGCAAAAAGTCTGTTTTGCAGCAGTTTGGTTCTGAAAAGTCAACCATCATGACTTATCCTTGATCATTCTGGAGATCTGGGCCTTGAGCTGGGGTCTCCATTGTGGTTGCCTCTTCCGAAGTGAACCCTCAGGCAGCTTTACGGAAAAGAGACTGACTGTTGACTGTTCTCAACACAGAGAGGGGTGGCAAGTCACAGATCCGGGAGGGGTCCTGTGCAGCCAGTTGGCTGAGAGGGGCTTGCAGAGCAGAGCAGAGAGGTCTCACAGCTGTTTATGAGCAAAACTGCATGGAAACATGGACACTGGTTCTTAATGTCCGAGATTATTATCATGGTTTATGGCACAAAATGGTTTGTGAAGATCCATTTCTTTTCATATGCGGCTGATTGTTTTGGGTCAAGTTAAAATTAAAGATATTTTGGTGTTCAAACAGCAAAATCATACTGAAATACACATAAAAGCTGGCATTGGATTTGATAAAGCAGGTAGATTCCTTGATGGTTGCCCCAAGCTCCAAACGTAGTTGAATTAGAAGTTTGTTGACTGTTGTCAAAATCCTTGAATAAAAACAAGACAGTTTGACTTCAACCGAGATGATAAGGTATACACACAGGCAGAGTTATGACACAAGGTTTTGGACGACTAAATAGTGTGCGGTTTTTGTGATACTTGCTGGGGTACAACTCACAAAATATTATTCGGTGTGAAGTTCTTTATTTGACAATGTAAGTTTGATAGAGATGAGACAGTAGAAAACACATCCCCATAAATTAAAATCTTTTTTTTAAATTTCAATAAGATTTTTGCAGAATCATTGAACTTTTATGGCCTATCCAGGGGTGGTAAGACAAGAACACCGTACCTTTGCTGACCACCATCAGTAGGAACTGTGGGTGAAGTGTCTTGCCAAATGACAGATCCTGACTGATGTATCAGAGCTGGGGTTTGAACTGACAACCCTCTTTTTTTGAAGAGCAAACTCCTGCATCTCCCACCCCAAAATAAAACTTTTAAGACCTTCAGAGAGCCAGAGGAACTGCTGTAATATTATTACTCTAAACAGGTCATTTTACATCATATGGCTTCTGACTTTTATTTGGCAAGTTTCTCACTGTTCTTTTCAATATCATCTTTTTTTTCTGCCCACCTTAATCCCTTCAGCCTTCACTCTCTCTGATTCTGACAACTTTCAAGCCCATCCCATGCTTCAACTGTCAGGCAGGGATTCATGGAGTGTGGGGGCAGTGGGGTAGCTGGGGCTGGATGAGTGAGATATCTCATTGCCTGAACATCTTGACTCAGAATTTATGCTGATGAAGACTCCTCTTGCCCTTCGGCAAACCTTCTGCCACTTCTTTCACTGGAGCATACAGTCCTGCCTCCTCTGCATGATTATGATCTCGCCACAGTCAACAGTCTCCTACTTTCTCTGTCCCTGTCCTTGTTAAGAGGACTTTGGGGCCACAATTATCTCATGAAAGTATTGTGCAATCACTGCTGGCTCATTCATTTCCAGGTATATAGCAGGTAGGATTTAAAAAAAAAACCACATGCAAAGATCTCAGAAATAATGACATTTTGCTTCAACATGAGAGACTACAGGAGGATAAGCTTTTTTACAAACCTGTAACAGACATATCTAATTTGTCTTAAATGGTGCTAAAGACACGGACTCTCAACAACACTAATGGTAAAAAACACACTATCTTAGATGGTAAAGTGACTGCAGGTGAAACATCACATGACACAACTCAGCCAAAGCATCACCATTTCTATGTAGAGCTTGTGTTTGTTTTTGCAGCATATTTGCTGCTGTTAAGGGTGATTTATAACAGATTAATTAATGTTTGTATGCACAGGGCAGATCTTGAAAAGGTGCAAAGTAGGACTGAATGACTTTGCCAAAAATAAAATAATTCAGTTTATTTATATTGCGCCAATTCATGACACAAGTCATCTCAAGGCACTTCACAATTCAACCAGATCATCCAGTCAAATTGATTCAAAGTTTTCTATCTAAGGAAAACCAGTTGATTGCATCGACTCATTGACTTGAAGGTAATTCTGCACACTAAGCATGCTGTAGCGACCATAGAGAGGCAAAATTCCCTTTGAACAGGAAGACACCTCCAGCAGAACCAGACTCACCAGTGTGAGGGGCAATCTATCGAGTCCAACTGGAGACAAATACAGACATGAGTAAAGAAGCAGAGATACCAAAGGCAACTGTAAACCAGCTCCACAGGCGGCCACATCAAGGAAGCACACAGCCAGGCAAAAAAGCTCTGAGCCAGCTCCCATGTCAGAGGATGACGAGAGCATCCAGCCAGTCACGGTCAGAGAAACAGGACCATATTGTAAAACAGGCCAAGCCCCAACATCTATAAACAAAGATATTGATGGCAGCAGCACAGCTGATGTTTCTCTCCAGGATGGTGTCACAGCATAACAGAAACACACCAGATGAAGCTACTA